CTACGATTGAAGGGACGGTCCGCGATGACCTATGAAAATGCAAGAGGTTATGTGGGAAGGTAGTGTGGTCCGCAGTGGGACGATCCTCTGCCATTTTCGTGGCGGAAAGTTGTACGGTAAAGGAATTAAGGCGCAAAGTTGCTCCAGTGGTACATCCCTTTTTCCAGTGACTCCGCCTCCAGACTCCGCCTCCAAAGTCGGCCTTCCAGCCAAAAGTAATGCTACCGGGCAAGTAGCATGAAGTGGATGCTTCATTGTATCTAGTAGAGTCATACGCTTCATTATAAGGAATTAGCCAACGGGACTGGTCTCAGCGCGCGGTCTTTCGGTTTTTTTACCGTACAATAGTTTCAAGCTGGTGGAGTCCCAATGAACGCGTTTCCAATGTTACTTTAGCGTTTTTACTTTACACACGAGTCACTTGGAAAATTGTCCTCAGTATTTCTACACCATCACCTACACTATTTATCGCGGACCGTGCCTTTAATAGGAGTGGAATGCGTGCCGCATCACGAAAAGGGGATTGATCAACGGCGAAAACTGTCGTTTATTGTAATCTGTGCGCTGAAATAAGCCTCTCTATACGACCCATTCGATACAGGTTTCACGGTCGGTGACTCACCTCATCACATGGCAATGACAGTTGCGTGTCGCCGGAGAGCATTTTCTCTTCGCGTTCTTCCCTTCTTCGCGCATATTATTCCATTCATCAGTGAAATATCGATTTTTGGTGCAGTTTTCGATAAAAGTTCCAGTTTTCGAAATCATCGTCCATGAATGTATTATTTCGGTAAAGACATAGTTACATTAGTTGCGATCATTGATTCAAAAATTTAAAGAAATTATTTCCGATCATAGGGTGACTGAAATTGTAACCCATTGTTGTGGCCGAGAATGCTCAATCTCCATTTTTATAGGTGTTATTTAGCGATTTATTGTTTTTTCTTTCTTTTTTTACAAAGGGTAAAAGACTGAGACAGCGTTGTTGCTCGAATTCCTTGTTGAATATGATTGTTAATATTCTCGTTGATTAGGGTATCCCAGTAGGAAATGTTAGTGTCGAATTTGTAGTTCATAGAAAGTGTAATATAGTTATACGCCCCATAGGATAAGATTGCAAAGAGGTCCAAGTAAATAGAAGGAAGCCTTTTTGCCGTTTTTTTGTGGTATCCTGAAGCGAAATAAATGTTTAATACTGAGCAGGTATGAAGTTGAAGTCCCGTTGAATCGTGTTATTTCTTTCAGTCAAGGTTATCTAGTTGTTTACCATATTGTATTTGTGATATTTGAAGCGCCATGGTAGACCCTGCTGTCCATAAAGCATCAACCCCAACCGCTCCTTCACTTGAGCAGAGCGAAAGGCAGACAATGAGGTAAGAGATTACTTGTTCGACATACAATGTGTATGTTTACTTCAGTTATCTTAATAAAC